GCCTTAGTGTCTGAAATCAGCATGTCTTTTAGTTTCTCCAAAAAGCTTTCCTCTTTCTCAAGATCTTTCTTCCAGATTTTTAATAGCAATTCCTTTCACATACTTCATAACATTTAGCAGAGAGGACTTTCCTGACTTAAAAATGTATTCCCAACAGTTTTTCTCTCTTTAACCAACTTTCTTTTTCTTTGTATTACTAAGCACTCGGTATTTTTTTTTTTTTTTAAATTTATGGTTTACACTTATTTATTGTCTGTTACTGCCTAGAATAAAAGTTTCACAAAAAACATGGCTATTTTTCCTGTGTTTTGTGGTATCTTCATTGTCCAAAACAATATCTAAAATGTGGCAGGCATTATATAAATATTTGTTGAATGAATGAATTAAAAAGCAAATGATTAAGAGGATAGTATATATCAACTTAATAAAAGTTTTTATTGTCTCATACACATGAATAAAAATGCCAAATTACAGTAACTTTGTACAATTTTTCAAGAACAATATTCTTTCTAGGTTTACATGAAGTAATTGTAAGTAGAACAATTTTATTCTATTAATACAGAAGGAAACCAATAGTCACATAAGTGAGCCTTCTAAGCCCACGATGTTTGACAGAACTTTGAGAAATGTACATATTATATTAAAATAATTTGTATCTGTGTCATTTGTCATATTATTAAACATAGATTCTTTGCCTTTCCTCTGTTAATACTATGTTTATAAACATACTCTTCTGATAATAAAATTCTAATCAAAATACAGCCCTAAGATTTACCTACAGCTTTGATATTTTATATTCTGATGTTAAGTAGAAACATTTAAGGTCTTGTATATTTCAAAATGGACTCCCAAAAATAGTCAAACAGAAATTTTTAGCACATGTTTAAGCTTCTTTCAAGAAGGCTGTTTTTAAAAATTGCCATATATGTTCTAGAGATCAGCAAAAATAGCAGAGAATCCTAATTTTATAATTTAACTGATGGAAAAAAAATCTAACCTGTCAAAAATTGAACCTTATAATAATTAATAAAATTCCTTATTTTGTTTTTATTAAGGTGCATACACATTATGACCTTTCTTATTCCTAATTTTATCACTATTCCTGATAGAAAAGACTAAGATGAAATTTAAATAAAAATAGTATTATGCATATTGAGAAGCAATGTGATGAAGATCAGTAAGGTCTTACTAAAATGCCATGCCACGCTAACAACCTTTGGTTTTGATAGGATTATTTGACCGGAAGAAGAGCAATAGACTTGGCCGTACAGAAAGGCCCCAGCCAGAACATATTCATTTCCTGCATTCCCCTTGGGTTAGAAGGGCTTCACTACATGGCTAAGACTACAGCACCACCTTAACATCTCTTATAAAGAATGACACATTTAGGCCGGGCATGGTGGCTCACGCCTGTAATCCCAGCACTTTGGGAACCCAAGGTGGGTGGATCACTTGAGGTCAGGAGTTTGAAACCAGCCTGGCCAACATGGTGAAACCTTGTCTCTACTAAAAATACAAAATTTAGCCAGGTGTAGTGGTGGGTTCCTGTAATCCCAGCTACTTGGGAGGCTGAGGCAGGAGAATTGCTTGGACTCAGGAGGCAGAGGTTGCAGTGAGCCGAGATCATGCCACTGCACTCCAGCCTGGGTGACAGAGCGAGACTCCACCTTAAAATAAATAAATAAACAAACAAACAAATAAATAAATAAAATAATGATCCTAAGAGGTCATTAAAAAAAAGAATGACACATTTGCCACTTTTTCACTAATAAACAATCCATAAGACTTAACCTTCACATTTGAGAGAAATGACATGCAACTTGCATACTGAATTAATGATATAGACTCAAATCAGAATTGAACTTCTTTATCTACTTGTCAATAATATTACAGCAGTGCTGGCTGCCCACATGTGATGATCTCAGACTGTCTGATTCATCTGCAATCTGCAACTGGTATTCTTTAATCCTCTCATCTATGGATGGGTTTAGGGAACTCTTCCCTTACCACTAGTTTGAGAAGTTGTAATAATTGACAAAGAAATTCTTAGGATTCATCTTATTTTATTTTTTGATACAGAGTCTCACTCTGTCACCCAAGCTGGAGGGCAATGGCATCATCTCAGCTCACTGCAGCCTCCTCCACTTCGGTTCAAGCGATTCTCTTTCCTCCACCCCCCAAGTAGCTGGAATTACAGGCACATGTCACCCCGCTCATCTAATTTTTGTATTTTTAGTAGAGACAAGGTTTTGCCATGTTGGTCAGGCTGGTCTCAACTCCTGATCTCAAATAATCCACCCGCCTCAACCTCCCAAAGCACTGGGATTACAGGTGTGAGCCAACGCACCTGGCCAAGGTTTATATTCTTAATGTGTGTTGATTTCCATTCTTTAAAAAATAATACAGAAAATAATCATTTTAATATGTTTATTTTTGTAACACAATAGTTTAAGAACCTATGTGTGTTTAATTTAAAAATTACGTATTATCTTGGTAACCACATGTTTAATGACCCTGTTTTTAATGTATTTTAAACTACCTCAAGTCATTGACTTGAGGCACAAAGGCTATTAAAGTCAACAGATTTAGGCAAACTCTAACTCATAGCAATATTAAGATGATCAAATGAGATAGCATGTTATCAAATGCCTTTAAAACTGTGAATTTTATCTAAGTGTCTTAATTTCTTACAAATAATAGTTGTCTATTAAGTATCTAATATAATCAAGCACAATACTATGTGTGCTTTAATTCTTTTCTCATTCCATCTTTATTATAAAATAATAATTCATGATCAATTCCATTTTCCAAATGAGAACATAGAGATTCATGGTGGAGTCACTGAGGCCAATTATATCTCCTTGCTGAAGGAGGTATAACTGGTAAATGATGAGCAAGGAATTGAATATAAGTTTATCTAACTTCATCCCTGTGTTCCATCTGTAACCCTCCCAATGCCTCCAGAAAAAGAAAGAGCCCAATAGGGTAACAGTTTTCAAAGATAAAAAGCCCATTACTTACTAACTCTGCCACGTCTGGCAAAGTGTAGGGTAGATAGTGCCATGGATATAGTTAACCCTTCTCTAATTTTCCTAAGGCTGACATGGATGTTTTAGCTATTTCTATTTTAATCATTGTCTAAAACATGCTGTATAAGTTTAATAACCTCTTTAATCACTGAGAGGATGTGGGGCTCCTCTCATTGGAGTCTCTACCAATGATGACAAATTCTTAACAAAATAGTTGATGGATGCCTAGGATGTGCCAAGTACTTCTTAGGACCTGTGGAATGCATTAGAAAACACTGTTCCATGGCTCAGTCTAGATGAAAGAGAAAAAATGTAAAAAGCACAATAAATAATAAATTATATAGAACGTTAGAAATTAAGTGTTTGAAAAATAGCACAACTTAAGAGAGTAGTAGCACAGACGAAGGAGAATGGGAGCAAAGCTGTAATTTTAAATAAAATTGTCAAGAACGACGTTGTTGACAAAAAGACATTTGATCAATGAGGGGATGGAAGTAGGGGGTTAATTATATGAACACAATACAGACAATAGAGAAGACTTTGGCAGGCAAGAAAATAATCGGCGCAAAGGCTTTAAACCCAGTGAGTTTAAAGCAGAATAAGAAAGAACCAAGATAGGGATGGGGGCTGGAAAATCATGGTCTCACCTGTCTTCATAAGAACTTTGACTCTAATGGACATGTGAGTCACCAGGAGTGCTTGACTGCAGGAATGACATGGTCTAATAACGTCAGGGTTTCCTCATTATATAGGGGTCAGTTTGGGTGCTGTATTGAAAGTGGATTTTAGAATAAAGAAACAGAGAAAGATGGAGACTAGTTAGAAGGTAATGTTGTTAATCCTGGTGAGACATGATGATGGCTTAGTCTAAGGTAGCACAAGGTGATGAGAAGTGTTTGGATTCTGGATATTATTCTTAGTAAGAGCCAATAGGACTGTCTTAAAGATGACTGGGAAAGTTGCGTGGGACAAGATTAGGTTCGGAATGAGATCAGAGAAAAGCAAGACTTGAGATTTGGCTATGTAGAGTTCCAGACACCTATTAGATATCATATCTTGTCACTATCTTGTGTTTGTTGAAGTCATCAGTAACAACTGTGGTGACCTTCCCTTGAACTCAAGTGCAACCACAGAGTCCTTCCCAGTAAAGTACTCCTGGTAACCACTGCCGGTGGAGATAAGCTTACATTAGACAAGGAAGCTATTTGCCATCACTCTGAATTGCTGGTTGTTAACTGAAGCATTAACCAGCTGCATAGGGTAGATGTTTCTTCTACCTGCTGACAAATACTTGTGCTTTTACCTATTTTTCTTTTCTTTTTTTTTTTTTTTTGGACAAGGTCTCACTCTGTCACCCAGGCTGGAGTGCAGTGCCATGATCACAGCTCTTGACTTAAACTCAAGCAGTCCTCCCACCTCAAACTCTCATGTAGCTGTGACTACAGGCATGCACCACTACACACTGCTAAATTTTAAGATTATTTGTGGTGATGGGCGTCTCACTATGTTGCCCAAGTTGGTCTCAAATTCCAGGCCTCAAGAATCCTCCCACCTTGGCCTCCCAAAGCACTGGGATTTCAGGCATGAGTCACCATGCCCAGACTGCTTTTACTTTACATATGCATTTGAGGTAGAGACTCATTTAGAGTGCATTACTCAGATCATTTTGTTAGTGGAATGTGGTCACGTTAGAATTACATTTCTCTGAAAGTATGTTTTCTTTTTGACTTGGAATCATTAAAACCTTGAGATAATTTACACACATTATAAGCCATAAATTCAAAATTACATAATAATGTCTTCTGTAATTCTGTATATTTCTATACAGCTTGTTTAGCAATAAAATAAAATAAAATAAAAAACTCAAGGGTGGTCTTTTTTGTTTTACTTTATACTTCACATAACACTTCTGATAAACTCCAATTCTGGGTCAACATCTCATTCCAATAGCATTTGAAGGTCAATACTAACCTGCTTGATTTCCTTCAAACAGAGAACTGTTTTTTAGACAGATTCCAACTTGATGCATCTATGTGAAAAGGGAGATGAGATTAAGTCAGCCACCAAAGCATGTGGTTTAGTAAATAAGGACAATGTTCAGAGAGGAGAAAGGGAGCAAACAAGAACTCATCTCCGTTGTTGCGGTTATTGGAATTACCAGGATCTAGGAAGTAACAATAATTATGCCTAAAGGAAAAAAGGAAGATAAATATAACAGCTCAGTGTCTCTATGCACCAAGACAATTAATGCACTGGATGAGAATGTCAGGATTCAGGAGGATCTTGGCAGATCGAGTGACAGGCAGAAACTGACAGAAGGTTATTTAACAAGGATAAGTTAAGTTCATAATTTCAGAACTTTTATTTGGATGAACATATAATTTTGTATAAGTATTCTACTATTTTAAAGATAGGAAACATCTCTCAGAATTTATAGAGAAAAGACAGGAAGCCTGGACACCTGGCATCTGGTTCCAGATCCTCAGAAAACTACGTATGTGGCCTTGGCGCATGGCGGTCAAAGCTCTGTTTTCACCACTCTCAAAATGATGGAGGCCCGACTTTATCACTAAGTCTTTTCCCTTCCACATGTAAACATTTCTATGAGCCTAGATACTGACTGTCAGGATGTCAATAAAGTAATGAAGCTAAACCATATTTCCAGGTTTTAGTCACTGCATAAAATGCACATACATCCTATCCAATAAGTACATACCCCAGATAACTTAAAAGATAAGCTTTAATGCACGTGTTTCCCAGGTCTTGCAGCATTTTCCTTTACCTTGTCAGAGTCCATTTCCACAAGAAGGCAGACACAGAACTGTATACTTGGAAAACACTGCCTAATGTTTATTTAATAACTTTGTTCAAAATCCTATTGCATATAAAAATAATACACAAAACAATTTGTAGGATGTATGTTTAAGGAAAACTAAATATTAATCTAATAAGAATTACTTCTTTTCTTTTTCTTAAAGTTTGAAAGTCATTGACTCTCATCTGATTTCATTAAACAAAAAATCACAGAATTTTATAAGTCAGATCTCTCCTTGGATTCTATATTACACCTTGCCACGCTTTTGGTCAAAATATAACTCGTATTTATTGGTGCAGTCATGAGAAAGTTTCTTCAGAAAAGATCGACAAAAATGAAGCTCAATGAAGCTCCCTATTGCAGTGTGTGTAACAGAAAAGAAAATAAGAACTCTAACTACATGCTGCAGCCGAACAGGCCAGTTCCTGGATATTGCACGAAATTCTGCTGGGTGCCCGAGAGTATTGTTCTTCAGAACCCAAGAAGATTTTATCAGCTTTCTGTTGACAGTGCAAATCCAGAATTAGCTACAGTAAGCAGAATAATCAATTAGTAGTTTTTGGCCTTCTGACCTTCTACAACTCCCTGCTGATGCCCTGTACAGGTACTGCTGAATTACACTGTGATTGGCAGGAACGTCTCATGAAGAGGCAAACAGACAATTTCTGTTGTGGTCCTACGTCAAATTAACCATCAATATGTTAAACAACAGCTCCTATTTTGACAGAAGATCCAATATGGAGACTAAAAAGGCTGCAGGTGTCTTCATAGCACTCTGACATTTTCATTATTGCATTGCAGATCCAGTGTCGGACTAGTTGTTCATTGAAATTTGAATGAGAGTTGAGCAATTGATTCCACTGGGTCTTAAAAATAAAAACCTGGTTTTTTTCTTGATACAATGGTGAAACTGATATATACAAGATTAAGTTTCCAGCCTGAATGTTTTTATAGGTGGAAAACAGAAACGTTTAGAAAATGGAAATGATCTAATGAAACATAACATATCCCATTTTGAACACGATCATTCAGCCAGGTGAGGTCTGAGGTTTGCCTGTCAGTACTTTAATTGTATCCCAGGCAATGGAAGAGTTATTCATTTATCAAGGAAGAGAGATGACCTAACTCAGACTCACTGCAAAGCCCTCAGAAGCCCCGAAGCTTTGGACTTTCAGCTTCCTAGCCACCAAGATCACTTCTGCAGGCCTTTTAGAAACAGGCTCACATCCTTACATACCAGGTTTTCATTAGTTCTACTAAACTACTGCAGCAGAAGAGATTAGTTTGCAGATAACTGTATTCAAATTTCAACCACATACCCTGGCTGAACACAGATTTCCTTTATCCTTTGAGCAATTGCTGTGTACAAGAGCCACCATTCACAGAACGTTTAAAGCTGCTGCCCATGCATCCCTGCCTGGTCCACCACTTTCCATCCTGCCCTGGGAACAGGCATTACTTTGTAATTTTATTGCAATTGATATTGGAGTGATAGAATTTCAGGATAGAAATTTCATATATACATTCTGCTGTATGATACTTAGAAGGTGATTTTTTGGGATTACTTTATGCAATACAAAGTTGTCTTTATTTTAATAAAGTGATTAATATTTTCAGTGTGTATACATGTATCAGCCTAGTGTCGCATAAACATGGACATTAATAAATATTCAGTGAACACCTAAATGGCAATGTTATCATTGACACTCTACTGTTTACATTATTGCATATTTTAAGGAAACGTGTACCTTATATTTAAATATGTGTAATTTCAAGCTTGTCCCTAATGTCGAGTCTGTAGGCATCCTGCCATTGTTTTGGTAAACCTTTCCTTTACTTTTATTTTAAGGGCAATGTTTGACCTTTGCTGAAGGTATTCATCACCCTATAATCAAAACATTTTCACAATGTAAAAAATAAAACCTCAAACATAAAACAACAAAAATCTGTAATATTTTGCGACTCTATCTGACACTCCTTTTCATGTAAATGTTATTTTGTTTTCTATGTCTTCTCTTGATTTTAAATTGTATATTTTCATCTTCTTACAAGGCCATATTTTATCATTTTAGTGTTATTACTCCGTTTACACATGTGTTCTTGAATCACTTCTCAAATATGTGTCATCATTCTTTTGAAATACAATTACTCCTGAGTCTGAAAGCCTCCATTTCCTGTGGATTCCAAAATGATTCCTGGAAATTGAAGGTAAGGGGAGTTCTTGAGTGATATACCTATGTTTAAAAGAAACTATAAAATTGATGTCTTAGGAACTGAGGTGTAACAGCCCCTGCATTCTGCGCCACTCCCTTCATTTCTTCCTGAATGCGATCTTAAATAAACAGCAAGGTCGCGTTTCAAAATTTGCTGAGTCTGTGATACCGTCACATCACACCTACCAGCCTTGAGTCACTTCCCTTGGGATAGTGCTCTTCTTCCCTGGGCAGAGGAAGTAATTGCCTCTCTACTCCTTTTTTTTTTTTTTTTGAGATGGAGTCTCGCTCTGTCGCCAGGCTGGAGTGCAGTGGTGCGATCTCAGCTCACTGTAACCTCCATCTCCCGGGTTCAAGCGATTCTCCTGCCTCAGTCTCCGGAGTAGCTGGGGCTACAGGCGCACACCAACACGTCCAGCTAATTTTTGTATTTTTAGTAGAGACAGGGTTTCACCACATTGGCCAGGATGGTCTCAATCTCTTGACCTCATGATCTGCCCGCTCAGCCTCCCAAAGTGCTGGGATTACAGGCGTGAGCCACGGCGCCCGGCCGCCTCTCTTATAGCATTTTACACTTACATCTGTTATAACTCACATTACATGTATTGCAATTGTGCATTATATATCTTTCTCCCTCACCAGAGAGCAAGGTTCTTGTGGGCATGAAAAGTGTCCTCCTGTATCTTACATACTGACTGCTGGAAAATCCATATGGGCGAAATCATTAAATCAAATAATCTCTTCACACTATTTATCTGTGACAACATAGACTCTGCTATAGGAGGTAAAATAGTAGTCAATCACGATTCTTCTCCAAGTTAATATCATACCCCAATTAAACCAGCGGTGGAGCTAAGCCCCACTGCATCAAGAGCACAGTGCAAGATGACTGGAACAACCTTTTACGTTTTAATCTGTTTTTCTAATGCCAGTTAATAAGTGTACATGACATGTAATCTCATCCAATTGCCTGAAGGATGTTTTACCCCTACCTAAAACCAAGTGGACACACACCGACAAGGCATCAGCAGATTTTCAAGGATCTGAAAATCCTTCTTCTGCTTTATACCCAAGAACCAAAGCAAAAGAAGCCAAGTAGCACAGGTGCAGGTGCCTGCCTTCCCTGTGGCTCCAGCATCTTACCCTGCTATGGGCCTTTCTATTACTGTCTTGGGGGTTCAGCTGAAGTGTTACAGACTGGATCAAACATCTTGCTCTCTTCTATCTAGATTTTTCCTTTTCCCAGGAAAGATTTTTTTTATCGTTTCCTGCAAAGTAGGCAGTTGCGTACATTATGGGGGCAAACCCTCCATTCTACAACATAATAAAACTCTAGGTCCCATCTCCCCAATTTCTGGATCTCAATGTATAAAGAGATGCTTTTGAAATATCTACCTTAAGTGACTAGCTCTTATAATGGAAAATCTGACTTTCAAAAAGATTGTTTCCAAAATGGGCAATAAGATATAGAAGGACAAAATCTTCTATAGATATAGAAGGATGTTGATTTTTGCTTTCACTTTGCATTCCGTCTTTCTTAATTCTGGAGATGGCGGATTGATCCTTCTGACTTAGCTAAAAAGATCATACAAGAAAGAAAGTATGAATACATAAACTATTTACAGTTGAAATTTCCACATTGATGCAATAATAATAAGAAGAAGTCCCAGTAAATGAGCATCTCTTTTGTGTGCTTGTTTACTCCCTATATTATTCACAAATGGTCCTCACTGTGGTCATGCCAGTTGGAAACAGACTTCACCCTGCAGAGGTCACATTGCTGTCCAATTGCTGTCCAAGCAGAAGATAAGTGTCAGCTGCCAGGTGTGTGGCTCAGGCCTAAAATCCCAGCACTTTTGTAGGTTGATGGGGGTGGATCTCTTGAGGTCAGGAGTTTGAGATCAGCTTGGTCAACAAGGTGAAACCCTGTCTCTACTAAAAATGCAAAAATTAGCTGGATGTGGTGACGCTCACCTGTAATACAGCTACTCATCAGTCTGA